AGCATCAGCCATATAAATCATTCTATTTTACTTCACAAAGAACGCCTGAAATTGATCTTTCAATTTTCATTATTTGATCTTTGATTTCCCCCTCCGTGTTAAAGAGGGGAAGAACAAAAGAATTACCTCATAAAAGAGCTCGGCTCATTTAAATTAAATGGGTCTGAAGAAATAATTCAAATAATAAGCGAAGTCGGGGTTATTGTATTCTTTTTACCTTGTCCAAGTTTTAATACAATTTAGCACGTAGATCTGTTACTAGGCAACGACAACAAAATAAATGGTTATACAAGAGCGTCGCTGAGTAAGGGCTGCGCAAACAAGCATTGCTCCGCAGCAACAATGACACAGCAACAGAGAAACGGTATTCTCTGTGCCGTCCGCGTCGAGATGTCTCTTTGGGACAAGTTTGGAGCTAAAGGGAAATGAAGAGTAGGTTAGTGAGATAGTGAGTTAATCAGAGAACTACTGTTCAGTCGTTGTGGTCTATTACTGTGAGAAGCTGGCAGCCGAGGCAGGGGATGGTTCGGGAAGCCAAAGGAAGGGGAAAGTTCGCCGTTGGAAGCCGCTACCAAAAAACGGCTAGTGGAGTCTGTAACAGACCGAGAACACTAGACTTTTTGTGACATTAATTTGTGAAATATAGTCGCGAGTTATGTGTTAAAGAGTTTAATAAATCCGATTACGAATCGAAACCTTGTCTATAGTTTCTCTTTCATGTGACAGTACCAAAGAGCACACAAAAATTACAAATTATTTGTCAATTCCACGTATTCAAGTCTTCGTGTTACAGCTTAGCCTCTTGAAGAATCTTGTTTTATTTCCAGATTCATGAGGGGTCTGGAAGAGACGCTGAACCCCATGTTGCTAGCTCACTTCCTCCTGATAGTGGGTGGCATGTGTTTCGCAGCATTCTCTGCAGTAACGGTATGTTGTTTCTTTCTTACGTCATTTAGCGACTGTGTCAACTGCAGACATTTCTCCCACTTTAATATACACAAGAGAGTGGTCTCCTTCAATAAGCCGGCTTTGTTAATTCAGTTTCATCTTCGTGACACGTGGCGGTGTCAGTTATTTCTAGCAGAAGAATGAATTAAGACAAAAACCAGACCTTTCAAACCATTATGTGTCTACATAACTTCATATAATAAAAAATGATATGCAGAATTTATGAGAGGCTGGATAATGCAGTCGGTATACCTACTGGCTAGGAGGTGGACGGTGAGGGGCCAGAGTTCGATTGCCAATAGGAGCACTCTTCTTCTCCTCTTCAAGTCGTCCAGACCGGCTCTGGATCCCAGCAGCCTCCTATCCAACGAGTAAAGGGGGTTCTTTCCCCAAGAGTAAAGCGGGCGGGGCGTGAAGCCAACTAATGCCTCGGTCAAGAATACGTGCATCTATACATTCACTCCCCATACGCCTTCATGATGTAGTGCTTAATTAGCTAAGTACACGGAAATCTTTAATTTTATTTTATTCAGGGCCTCGAAGGCTGAGGATTTCAGGATTTTTTAACGTTGCCTCATTGGCCGGTACATTGGCAATGTCTTCCCCCACCTCTTTTTTCGCTGAGTGCTGTATATTCCTTCCTTTCTTTCCCCTCCCTATTGGTTATCCTCACTGGGTAGAAGAGGCTAAATACTCCTTTCATTTCCGAGCTTCGAACTTTGCGGTATATTTCTGCGAGCTCTGGTAAGGTAAGGCTATCCGTGTACCAAGCCCACAGGTTTTGAGACGTAGAGATTCCCACATAGACAATTGGCTCACAGATGGCGGTGAGGTTGTCAGCCCCAGTCCCCGGCCAGCCTTTGACCCCCGGAAAGACCGTTACATTTATTATAAATGTAAAGTTACTCTTGTGCTTAATTATGAACCAGGCAATGATGACGTATGTGGGAGTGAAGGTACAGCTCCACTACTTTTAACCTCACCACTAGATGCAGGTGACTAGTCAGCTTCACTTCCCTACTGTTTCCCTGTAACACTATTGCGTAGAATACTTGGTGGACCACAGGACCGGCCTGAGCATTTACTTCGTACACATTTATACTTCAATGTGTTCGTGTTTTCTTATTTGTTTCTATTCACTGGAAACGTGACACTTGATTGCACTGGTAATTTCACGTCAAGCAAGCGTACTTGGAAGTCCAGGCACTGTGTATGCCGCCGATTTCTCTATTACACTCTGCTTCTATTGCGTTGAGTCTTAAATATAATGAATTACACCAATAAATACATATTCTGCAGCCACTGCTGTATGGGCGATAAGATATGTACGAATTCTTTGGGGCAATAAGACATTGTGACACGTAGACCTTGCGGCCGACCCCCGTTCCAGAGATGTCCTACTTCGGACGACGCACAGCTGCCAGTAGCGTTGCTAAGATTTGCCACGGACTAGGATGAGAGATGAGGTCATATCCCAGGGAAACTGGTACGCAGTGACCGGAAGGGAAACACATTTCATGAGTGATCAAACACCGCATCACCAGAACACCACTCCGTGTATTATTCGCATTCAGACAAGAAGTACAGTCATCGTTGGAGTGTTATTCTAATCTTCCTTTAAGCACCATCACTCTGATTACTTATTCCGCCATTAATATTGCCCTCGATCTTCCTGTTCCCTTCTATCATTGACTCCCTCACTTTACATCTCGACTCTCCCTCTTCACGTACTACTCACTGTAAGACATCTCCTAACTGTAACTCTCTGGAGCCTCTTCTATTCCTGGTTCTCTAACTTTACATCTCGACTACCTATAACAGACTGTTTCTTCTTCTTTTCCGACTTCTACACTTCTCTTCTACCATATAGATAGCACCCGGTTACAACCCCTAAGTGGCCATCACTTGGAAAGGGTTACGGCCGGATTCTCAAAATGGGCGCCAGTCCAGCATTTAGCTTGTCGGGGAGAGATGTTTATCTTCAAACCTTCATTTCAGCTTTTATCGTTACAAGACGAACATTATGTAAGGGACTAAACGCAATTAGGGTGACATTCCTCTTAGGAGACTCATAATAAAAGTAAGGACTGATTTCCCAAACTACTTTCCTAGCTAGACGGAAGATAATATTTAAAGTCTACAGATGACGCTAGTGACAGTGGTGGAGCCATGGCTCAAGTGCAGCGTATGATCCTGTCTACACGACCACCATTGTCACCACAAGCCCAAGGAGAATTCTCAGGGATTACAATCATGTGGTCGCGGGATGGCACCTTGTCGCAGGCGCGTATCTAATTCACGTAGAATTGATATGTGGAATTTTCAAAGAAGCTGTTAAATAATATTAAGTGAGGGAAGTGCGGTTACAACCCATTGCCAAGTAAGAGTTATTTAAACAGGCGACAATATAATAGCCGTTGCTAGGGAACAGCTCTTTGAATATGTTTCTCTTCCCGGCAACGAGAAAATACGCTGTAATGGAAGAGATGTTTTGTGTGCGGTCCTTGGCGGGGCTGTATAACAAGGACTAGTAGAATAAGTTGAAAACTGTAGTTGAGAGAAATGACGTAGTTGAGGCCGGGAACGGTTCGGGAACCTAGAGGAAAAGGACTGTCCGCCTTTGGAAGCCGCTAATAAGTTACAGCTGGTGAAGACATAGAAGACTTCATGTGTGCTGCAGTACAGTGATTTGTATAATGCGTAGGTAAGTGAAACTGCTATTGTCGCCTGTAATTACAAGTTATAAGTGTTCAGTAAACCCAATTATGTATCCGACTTCCCTGTCTAGTGACTAAATACGTGACAGTATGTTAAATTTATTGGTTTTTATGTCGTAAAAATGTACACCCTTTGAAGAAAGTCGTCTTCTGGGTTTAGGCGCCGTGTATTCTTCGTTTTGGCCGACGTTTCGGAGGAACGTATCGCCTCCATCATTCAGAGCAGGTGAATGGCTTGGAATGCAGAGAGCAGTAGCAGAAGACGACTTTCTTCATAGTCATCGCCGTGAAAACCTCAAAACTTACATGCACACCCTTTGTTCTCAGAGTTCAGGACACGTCCTGCAGATGGCACAAGTCCTGATTGTGTATATTGCTTTCGTCTGTCAGCTGTATACGTATTGCTGGTTCGGTACACAACTCACCCAGCAGGTAAGCATAAAATGTTAGTCCCCATTCTAACCATGGGACAGAAGTCACTCAGCACCTCCCTCTGTACCCTGATCCATTCCCCATTAATTCGGTTCTCTTATATCCAGCATTTTTCTTACCACTTTGTTTTAGAATGCCTCAAGATGGTTGCCTCGTGAGAACGTGAGATATGGTTTACAGTCATAAGAAAGTGTTGTTAAAAAACACGTTTATATTATATCTGTTTAGCTCCAGTCATACAGCGTCGAATAATGGGAGGGCCCTGTGCGAAAGAAGAATTCTGAATGCTGAATTAAAGCGATCTCTTATACAAGTATTTTAATATACTACCCTAGCACTCGCTTCGAGAAGGAATGAAGAAAACGAAGAAATATTGCCAGTCTCTACCGAGAATCGAGCCTTGTACCTTCCGGATACGAAGTCGGACTGCTAATAATTTCAGTATTTTCTAGAACATCAGAACTGCTGAAAATGTCGCATGTTTCAGGCCGAGTTTGTGAGCGATGCAGCCTGGGGCTGCGACTGGATTGGAACCCCGATCTCTTTTCAACGCTGCCTGATCTTCATCATTGGCACTGCCAGAAGGGAATTTACCCTTACAGCTGGGAAATATATGTCTGTGTCCTGCGAAACAATGCTTAAAGTAAGCTTTATTTCCAGCAAATTTAGACCTAGTCAATGACTTCATGACCGTTTACGCTTTCACATTTTAATGTATGACCTTTTTAGATATTTTCATATCGTCCGTTTGTTAACATGCAGTTTTCAAAATATTGTAATTTAAGAATAAGTTCAATGGGAATTTCAGACTGTAATTATTTTAATATCTTGGTCTAATGGTTTATGCTAACCGTCTTACAGTGTATACACTTTTTCACTTTGTGCTTCACTTCCACACTATATGTTTCAGCACTAATGTGCCATCCTCAGGTGTCTTTATGCACGTTAAACTATTGTACTGCATGCCATGATGTCTTCATTCTAAAATGACTAAAATCTGTATTCGTCATATAGGACGATGAATTCTAAATAATAAAACTTTAAGGATTCTTCCTACATCGCACTCAAACACGCGAATTACGCCAATCCTCTTTTATGTGAGCATTCTTCCTACATACATTCGTGTATCGTGTTCTGTGTTGTGTTTTGCTCCTGTTCCTGCATGCGTTGTACTGCTTTTACCGGTTCTCGCGGTCTCTTCGCTTGCGGATTTCTTATATTTTTCCTTCTACCCTGAAGATGGAGGCGATACGTTCCTCNCACAAACTGCAGGTTTATCTGTCGTCACAATTTTGTATACACGAGTTTAACATTGTAGAAAGGGTTCCTAGAATATTTATCAATTTATGTTAAAAAAAACTGTAAGAGTTTAAACATCAAGAAGAAAAATACATTTTATTTATATTGTATTTCTTTATTATTTTATTCAGTTTCAGTCTCGCAATATATGTATAATTCTATGATAACTATACAGTTTCTTCAATTGTGACATGTTTTGACCACTAATGTTTTACCATAATCTGGTAGTACTTACACTATCGCTCTCAACACCCTCTGCTGTTCCCCAGCATTGAACAACGTTTACAATTGGGAGAAGGCCATTTTGTTGTTTATTATGTAGTTTCTCACTTATAGACTTACGTAAACACTCTAAATTATATAAACTTTTATCGTAGTGCTCCGAAGGTTATGTGTTTACGCAAAGTAGATGTCTTTTAATTTTGAATTAAAATTTTTTGTAGCAAAATTGTTTTTAATTAAGCGTCTTCATTTAAGTTAAATAGAAAATTGCATAGCGACCAGGATGCTGGGACTCGGCTAGCTTCGGCTCCGCTCGGCTCACTTCGGCTGGCGGGGTGGAGGGGCGTCGTCCATAGCTCAACATGTCACAATATTTTGCATCGGTCTTAAAACCATCTATAGCTAACTTGGTTTAAATTAAGTTAAATAGATAAGTTAGTCTGAACTAATTACTGTTATAATAATTTTCATTTATTATTATTCTTGTTATTATTGCACTTTATTAGTTTATATTTACTTCATTTGGTCCTGTAACCCTGGGTCTTAAGTAATATTCGTTTTTCTTGATGAGCGCAGTAGAACCAGGTTCTCCTGCTGTATACATGACTCGTATTACATAAGCTTAATTTTGGTGTTTGTCTTTCTGTGTGGTGGTTTCTTATATGACCGAGAGTTTCGGTAAAATTATTCATCTTCACAATAGGAAAGTCCTAGATTCGATTCTAGACCCAACGGCCGAATAGAGGTTTCTGTGGTGCTTCTTTGCCCTGACGTCACACGATGAAGTGAGATGGAGTTCGCTCTCTACAGAACCTTCAAGACATTTACACGATTTTCAAGGTTTGTATCATACACCACATTCTTAAGTAACAAGAAAACTATTGCAGTTGAAATATTAACATGATTCGAAAGAAGAGCACAGCACATTAGAAACATACAGCATTTGTCATGGGTGTCTTTTCCTCATCCTCCTTATTCGAACTAAGAATATGGGTATTTAAGTATGTAGAATTTTCTAGGTTGGTAAGTGTGTAGTGTGGCTAATAGAAGGTTCAAAGTAAAAAAGACAAAAGGTAAAGCTATCCCTGTAAGAGGCCGTGGAGGCCCATAGGGTTGTGAGACGTCGAGGCTCCCACATCTTCTAGACAATCGGTTCACGATGGCGGTAAATTTGTCAGCCTTACCCTCCGGCCGTCCTCTACCCCCAGGAATATTGCCGGTACTCATTTTTGTCAGAGACTGAGTCGACCCCAGGGCCATAATGTGGCAGGAAGGATTAAGTAAATTGAAAAAAATCCAATAACCTTATCGGGAATTGAACTCACGAACCTCCGACTTGTAGCATAGTGCCTCAACCAACTACCCTACCGTGATCTGATTAAAATATTGCCTCCGCCTCTAGGGTCGAAGAATAAGTCAAGAAATAAATTACCAAAAGCAGACAGCAGGCTTAATTAATATAATTCTCCGAAAACGTGGGCTTTCTACAAACTACACAGCTTCACAACACAAGACCGTAGCGTTCACAGGAAACGACGTGAGAACCTATTCTAGGAGGCCTACTGACATGGTTCATGCAATAGGGTTGTAACATGACGCCTGAAAGCCGGAATAGTGGAAGCAGATGAGACGTCCAACTCTAGACAACGGCTCGGTAAACGCGTTCCCGCGCAAATGAATGCGTAGGCAACAGTATACCAACGAAGTTTCGCAACCTGTTTCTAAGCAATGGATCTGTAAACACTCGTCTGCAACAATAGGGTTATTGTTGAGATCGGCTTTTCCTGTTCGGTCCGCGCAAAGTGGTTATGAGGGGGAGAATTCGGACAATCCAGTTAGTTGAGCGCCGCTGATTGTAGTTTAGATCTGCAAGAGAAACTGAGATATTCACATGGGGGATAATCGCCGGGCAGTAACGACGTGAGCACAGAACTGGAAGAATCAACGTTGTTAAGATCCATTACTAGGAAATGACTAGTGAGTGCAAACTGAGATCTAGTATTAGCAACGCTGATTTGTAAAGTGTGGAAATAACTATAGATTTATAGCTATTTGTAGTTACGATCTGTAAGTGTTCAAATAAATCGAATTATCCAAACCCGTCTAACAGTCACACACATATAGATCACAGTATGCAGTAACGTTTATGAGGCAGCGGGATCCAAGTTAAGTATCAATGCTCTGTTTAACACTTAGTTATGCAGACATGCAAACAATGGACAAAGTGAAACCTTAATACATTCATTTAAAATAATTTTATATTTAAATATATGTAGCGAGAGATACAAGTTTGTGAATCGAATGGTAACGGACACTCCTCGCACAACTTCGTAATTGCAAATTTGATTTGTTGCTGCTGTCTCCACGTAAATGAACTCCGTCAAATATTTTGGAAATTCATTATTTAAACTTAAAAATTCATAAAATATTTTTAGCACAACATAAATATTGGCCGCCTCTGAGGTCTAGTGGCCAGAGTTCCTGGCTATAGACCCAGAAATTCCGATAGCTGAATGAGTCATTAGCGCTGATAAACTCGAGGCCTCACGAGGTCTGATTTTGTCACTGCAGTAAGTCGCATTAATAGTCAATCTGCGTTGGAGGTGTCGATAGGCGGCTGACACTTACACTGAAATAAAGTTCACTATTGAACAGCGTATGTTTATTGTCGAAACTTTTGCAATGAAATGTAAGTTTTGAGGTTTTCACGGCGATGACTATGAAGAAAGNTTGCAATGAAAGCTTACAGAAAATGTATCCGTAAGTTTCTTCGTAAATATCCTGACGCGCCAGTTCCCACAAAGTCGTCTGTATCCAAGCTTGTGAAAAAGTGGCGCGCCACAGGTTCAGTGTGACATAAAGAAGCAATCGAAGAAGATTGTGCTGACTGAAGTAAAGGTTCGGGACATTGGGGCACGACTACAGACCAGTCCTCGAAAATCGTTAAGACACTTAGAACAGGAAACCGGTGTTTCGCTAGGATCTGCTTTCACAGCCACAAAATTAATCAAATTTTACCCGTATAAAATAACAGTTGTGCATGAGCTGAAACAGACAGATTATGTAGCAAGAATTCGTTTTTGCAACCGGCTGTTAAAAATGTGCACAATGGAATCATGGATCCACAGCTTCTGTTCATGACTGATGAAGCCNACCCGTATAAAATAACAGTTGTGCATGAGCTGAAACAGACAGATTATGTAGCAAGAATTCGTTTTTGCAACCGGCTGTTAAAAATGTGCACAATGGAATCATGGATCCACAGCTTCTGTTCATGACTGATGAAGCCTGGTTTCATGTTAGTGGTCATGTCAGTGCACAAAATATAAGAATATGGAGCGGTGAAAATCCTCACGCTATGCAGTGCCATTACAGGGTGAAAATATTGGGGTGTGGTGTGCTGTAAGTCAGCGGCAAATCACGAAACAGCGAACTCTGGCAGCTACGTTAATGATACAGTTAATCCGTCCTTTAGTCAGCTGACTGCTGAAGAAAGACAATACAGGTATATTCAGCACATACGGCTAAAGCAGCCATGGTCGCAATACGGGAAGTGTTTGCAGAGAGAATAATCAACAGTTCTCCAGGTCTCAGTTTTTGCGATTTTTATCTTTGGGGAAACGTGATCGGAGAAGTCTACAAAAATAATCCTCCCAGCACTGAAGCTCTGCAGAATGAAATAACACGCCACTTTTTCATAAGCTTGGGTACACACGTCTTCGTGGGAACTGGTGACTCAGGATATTTACGACAAAACTTTTACTTTTACAAGACTTTTACTTGCAAAAGTTTCGGCAATAAACACCCGCTGTTCAATAGTGATCTTCATTTCAGTATAAATGTCGACCGCCTAACGACATCCCTAACAAAGTCTGGCTATTAATGCGATTTACTGCAGTGAACTCAAACCCTTTGGCGACGAGCGTATATCAGCGCCAATAACTCATTCTGGTATGGGCTGTCACAGCAGCAATATGTGAGAAATGTTATGTCCGCTGTGCGCTGTTCCCAGGTTTCCTCGATGGTTGAATGTCCTGTATCAGGTTTATGCCTTTTATCGTCTATCTACTTTTCAGTCAATCTAATGGATTTTAGTAACCAATGTACAGATTTATACTTAGT